GTTCAACACGCCACGGAAAGGGTGTAAAGCATCCAAAACTGTGCTTAACTTAGACAGCATCCTCCTTTCTGACACTGACATCAGAGAGTCAAGCTCTACAGCCACGATCCTACTGGGCCAGCAGCAGTTTGTTGATGCCCCCTACCCTCAGTCTGCTGCCTGTGGACACCACAGACTCAAAGCATGCTGAGCATCATCCAACAAATATTAAAAGACCTCAGCTTCTTCAGAAATAGAGATTGCTTTGGCTTCTGTGTTTTAAGTTAAGTCCAGTCCATTGTTTTATTCTATTCATTTACTTTAATGAAAACAGTTCCCTGTAAGATGAGTTTATGAGAGTGGAACCTGGGGACAGTACCATCAAAACAATTAGTGAAATTAGCCTAAAAAGCTCAATAGTACTGCAGAGTCAGGTCTAATAATTTGTAGCTTTGGCAATTTACACAATACACAGTCATTTTATCCTTTGTTGTTATAGGACATATTGATTAGTGGACTTTTTGAAGACTTCACAAGCACCGCAAGCAGACCAAAGACACTGCCAGGAGCATTTCCAAACAGCTACACATAGATTATTAAAGCCACTGAGTCAGCAAATTCATTTGTGAGCTCTATTACAAAACTGAAAACACGTGCATGGGAAATCTTGCAGAAAATTAATTTAGTCCTGCCTCTTTTCCCTCTGCCTCCAGTCTGACTGTGCCAAACTTCTTCAGCACTATTGGATTACTAGTAATTGCAAAATATCAAAAACCGAGTCAGCAGCGGTTTTGTAGCAGTATGCTACAAAAAGTGAGCCATGATTGATTTTATCATCCAAATGGCAATAAGAGTCTGAGAATCTGCCTCCAAGTGAGCCTAGGTGAGAATTTATGGCCGAGGAAAAAGGCTGAAATGCGTAATCTGTTTAATTAATTCAAAATATAATAAACATGACAGTGTGCGTGGGTTATGCTCAGCATTTCACGTCTGCAGAATAACTGAATTCAATTACATTTCTGCATGCAGCAACATGCTATCAAGTATAATTCTGTTATTATGGCATCAACCTCTGGTTCCCCTCTCGTCCTCTGAGCTCTTCACGGTCCTTTATATTGCTATTATATTTCAATTCTCTGGTATTCCTGAACTTCTCTCATGCACCATTTTTTTTCTGCTGCATCAGCGTTTCCTTAACATCTGTCAAAGCATTGGAAGAACAATACTTTATTCAAACTGAAGAGTCATGAGTGACACTGGCTTTCACACTGGGCAATGTTCACTCTTTCTGACTGATTACAGCACAGGAGCAGGGCAGAAGCCAAAGTGCTGGGTTCACGGTAAATTACACCATCCACTGGATGATTGATGGGAGGTGGAAAGATTTTTTTCCCCCTTTTTATTCTATCTGTGTAAGGTGGAAACTGACTCTTGACCAAGTAAAACACAACTAAAACACAGCTAGCTTGATTAAGATATCTGACTAACTGCAGTCATGCTGGGTAAAATAAATAAGAGCAAATAGAAGTTAGGGGGTCAAAGATTTACTTTAATACTTGAGCTGTCTTTAATGACTCTGCTAAACAGAGAGAGGACGTAGACTTCAACATCATCGCCCTCTTACAGATCTGCTTTGGCATTTCACCTGCTCAGCTCTTAGACATCAAAGTAAGTCAGGAATAGAAGTGAAAGTAGCATGATGTCATTCCCAGACAATGTCCTCCTGTACTCATACGCCATGCACTCATTCTGTACCACTTCTTTAACACTGGCCAGACGAGTGGACCTCAGTATCAGCTGTTCCAAATGTGGATCTCTTTGGATAGCAATGGCTGAAAGATGTGACAGAGTGCCACTGTTCAGATAAAAGAGTCATTTTCTCGCAAGAACAGTGTGCCACCCTGCTGTCCTTTGTCTCGTGGGCTATTCTGAGAGAGACTGCGAGGGTGCTTTTAGTATACACTGTATGTTAGGGCTATATATTTATTTATATAAATTTATTTATATAAAAACATCAATAGATTATGAGGGTGTCATGTGGGAACTTTTATGTATTTTATGTAGAATGAGTTCTACAGAATGATGTAGCTGTAATCATGAGAAAATGAAACAGTTGCAGTTGTTTAAAGGTTAGGTACAGGGATACTCTGTGTGACGTGCAGTGTGTTGTCTCCTGGCTGTGGACAGTTTCAGTGTGTCTTGTATTTAATGTCAGTATTTGGAGTGCATTTAAGACTTTACTAAATGAATGATGCACTATGAGAGCCGCCTGCACTGAGGATGATTCTTGAATGTCAGTGAAGACTGGTAAGGATTCTTGCAATTATATTCATTGACCACTTTGTTTGAGTGCATCTGTTCATCTCCAAATATCAAAAAAGCCAATCATATGGCAGTAATTCAGTCCGTTTAAGCATGTCAAGATGTTCTGTTGAAGCTCAAAGCTTTAAAGAAAGGTGATTTAAGTGACTTTAAATGTGGTGTGGTTGGTTAAGCTACTGGCTTACGTCGGAAACTGCTGATCTGCTGGGATTTTCTCACACAACCATCTCTATGGTTTATAGATAGTGGTCTGAGAAAGAGCAAAAAGAAATCCACCGAGCTGGGAAAAAAATGCTTTTGTTGATCCCAGAGGTTCAGATGAGAATGGCTACACTGTGTCAAAATAACAACTTGTTACTACTAAGGTATGCAGAACAGCATCTCAGAGCACACAGCACATTGACCCTAAAAGCACCAACACACGTCAGCTAAGAACAGGAAACTGAGGCTACAATTTACACAGACTCGCTGAAACCTACCACCAGGTGGGCATTCTAGCCTAGTTATTTCATTTCTATTACTTGAATCTTCAAAGTCCATAGCCTCCTCCCTCAGTATGTCTATACCTGTACCTCCTGTGGATCTCTGCATACCAGACACAATGTATCATCATCGTCTTCCTTGGCCCTGTAAGAATGCATGCCTGATACTATGCCAGCAGATAACATATCACCTATAAAAAGGAACCCTCTTGACCACAGTAACAGACAGTAAGGGCTGCTTTTGCAGCACATGAGTGCTGGTGATAAAAGACCAAGCAGATGCCTGCACACACGCACGCTCACAGAAACACATATGCACACATACACACTAACAGATGTGGTCTTGCTGACACCTCACAAAGGTCAGCCATCAATAATGCTCTAAATTCATACAGCTTTAAAGCTGACAGAAGAAATGGCTCTTTATGGATGTGTTAACGGCAACATAACACCTCAGCTTTAACGCTGCTGATGAAATGCTGTTAATGTGACTGACGTTATAAGATGACACAAATAATAATCACTCTTACTGAAGCATTAAACAGTGAAAATGGATCAGAAATGTGCAGTATAGTAAAGAAACTCACTTGAAAATCAAATCCAGACATAGTTTAAACATAAATTTGTCATCATCTAAAGATGAAAACCCTGCATATAATGTTTTCAATAATTTCCATATTACTAGAAAATTACAACAACTCAAATTTTTGGCTTTGTGTGTGATTCTGTATCAACTCGCTAGACCATCTCTAATGGCCCTCAAAAGGTTTTTAAGAATTTATGAGCAAAAGCTGCTTACTTTCACTGTAGAGTTACACCACATCTGCAGTCTGTCTCTGTTCCACTGAGACCTAAATAGATAAACAGACCAGCCACAACAAAGAGGTATTAAACTAGATAAATAGATAGATAGATAGATAGATAGATAGATAGATAGATAGATAGATAGATAGATAGATAGATAGATAGATAGATAGATATTTATTATTGGACACACATTAAAGACAAATTATTAAATGTGCATAAAGAATATCTTCTGTTGGCTATAAAGGCCTATAGTAGATCAAGTTTATATATTATTTAATAGCTGGGTGTGTTCGGATGGGGCTGGGGGAAATGCACTTAGCTTCCAAAGTGAACCCAATGCAGCAGTGCCCTAAATATGCATTCTTTTCTAACAGCCACCAGGGGGTGACACCTGTAGTTGCATAAAAGGCTTCAGATCCTACAGAAATCTATGAGATAACAGCACTCTCCCTTTACCTCTGTAAAAACAGACTTGTGTTGCGTGTTTTGGGGCATAATGAAAAAAAATAACTTAAGTCCATTTTGTAAAGTCTGGTGTCAGAGAGGAGGATTATATTATGTGACTGACAAGTCATTAGCCAGTGAGCGTATAAAACAATTAAAACTGACCTGTTTTAATTGTTTTATGGCCTAAAGTCATGCATGAAGAGTGTAGCCACTTTGAGCATCTGTAGCTGCTGGCTTTCTGCTAGATCTCACCTTAGATAATTGATCTAAATTTCAAATGCAGGACCACACCTCGTACACTCCCCTTCTGCTTCTCTGTCTATATACGACGCCCCTGCACTACAAGCTACGAGTTTGTTCTCATTTTTGTTACTCACCCTCCCTCTCTTTTTCAATTTATTTGCGTGTATCTGCCCATCCCAAGAGCCGACGCCAGTCCCCTCCAAGGCCTTTTCCAAACCGCAAAACAGGTAGCTAGCATTAGCTGATGACACAGAGCTCAAAACTAATATCCAAATATGATCATCAAAAAACCTAGATGGTGCATGCCAAAATGTCAAACTTATGACCAGGTGATGTCATAGTGGACATGTGCATCTTTTATATACAGTTTATGGTCAGCACTCAAATAAACCCACACTATCACAGCAGAGTATTTCCTGATAATTAAAAGATTTCGCTGCCAAATGATAATAATAAAAAGTAGAAACAAATGTGTCTAGAAGCAAATACCTACAGCTCACGGTAGGGACATGGTAGCTAAAAGAACTCATTTAAACCTACAAGCATGGTGAAAGACAAAATGCTACCAGGACAGCATAGATATAAATCTTAACACAGCTTCAAAGTTATTCCTAGCAAACATCTATGAATCATTTCCTATTTAGGCTTCAAGCCTTAGCCTGTGTTATTGTCATGGTCTAACCTATAAAACAAACCGTCAGCACCCCGCCTCATATCTGAGGTCAGTCTATTGTGTGTTTCTGCTGCAGATAGAAGGCAAAGTGACACTTTCCTGTTGGTGAGCCGTACACAGGCCTCCCGTGTGCTGTGTGTGTCCTCTGCAAACACTGATTGAACCGCGGGCGTTGCCATGGCTACACGCAGACCCAATGAGAAGCTCGCGGTAGACTGTTGCTGAATGAAAATAACAGAGGCCATTTTGCGAACGAAGCCAAGACATCATTCAATAATAACGAAAAACGGAAACGGAGGCAGAGCCGGTCCATTTCTGGACTGACGCCGCTTCTCTTCTCCAGAGTCGCTAGGGTCGGGACTGCGGCGCGGCTCGCGCATGTAGTCGAGAAAGAAAGGCAGGCGGTAACTTAATTGTGCCGCCTTCTCCTTGGAGTATCTTAAGGAGAGGGGACAGGTTATTTTCACCGCATTGCTGTCCGAGGCCCAGTGACCCCCCGGGAGAGAGGGAGTAGCCTTCAGTCAAGGTTGGCACAACATCCATGCGCGTTGAAAACAGGTGTACGGTTTCATCACACAGTAGCTCCAGAAGCCGCCGTAGCTTCACGGTGTGTGTCACTTCTGCGCCTGTCCGAGGACTTCACTCGTTTTATATGGAAAAGACATTTTATTAGACATGTTTCGGGAATTTGTCCGGTGAGGTGGCAGCTGTGTTAAGGTAAGTACACACTACCAGTTTGTTGTTTAGAAAACACAGGGGGGGCTATATATTTATCTCTCCCTCCGCGTCGCTTTTAGCAGCTGCACCAGCAGCAGCAGCACTAGATCTGACCCTCGGCTTAATTTCGTGGTGTTAGAGCTGGTAAACAATGCTATTTGGGTTGTTTTAACTGCCTTACAAGCAGTAATGACCCTACAGTTGTAATTGACGAAACTCGAGAAAATGAATTAGCTTATCCGGGATGCGGTCGGGTCGACTCGGTTTCCATTTAAAGTGCATTCCAGTGGACTGGTGTCTCCAGTGCATTAGAGGAAGATGCGGTTGGGACTGGGAGGATGATAAATGGCGAAACCACAAGCTTTTAAGCTTTACAAAGAATATTTCTAAAACCGTAAGGACCGACATTATGAGAGCAGTGTGGGAAGAACATGCAGCCTCCTGATAGTTGTAAACATGAACTGAAATATCCACGTTTAACCTAGATCTTAAACGCTTAGGATAATCTCCATTGTTAGCTTGCACTTGTGCATTGGTGCAATAGTTTCCCGTATGTGTAAGAAAAAAGGATATAAGCTTATAGAAGATATTTATTTTCTAACTGGACGAAGAACATATAACTTATTGAGTTTGGTTTTATGATGATAATAGTAACACTGTTACCCTGCAATTCTTTCATTTCATCTTGTGTAATATGTAGAGCAATGCTTCTGCGCAGGGCCACCCTACAGTCATCACTGAGTTGCAGTTTTTCCTTATTCCTGCTTCCTGAGTTCACATTCACCTGCCATTAAAGCTTTATCAGTCAGTCTCTATGCAGATGGAAAAACTCATCTGCTGCCTTGCTGTCTGACTTCCTCAAAGCCATTGCTGTCCCAGTTCAAAACAAGCAAACAAAAATAAAACAGACAACACAGCTTTTTCTGTCAAGTCTTCTAACTTGGTTAAACGGATGATGTAATGAGGGGCAACGGATAGTATCCGTAAGATGCATATGAATGCTGGATGAGCAGGGAAAATGGGGATGTGTCCAGGATGCACAGACTGTAACACTATCACTCCGGGAACCGCATACCACTCCCAGTGAGGCCTACCTTTCTACCTGCCTTGTGAGTGTCTTTTGCTGTGTGTGTGTGTGTGTGTGCCTTAGGCCATACTGGCCGGTGTTTCTGATGTTGTCTTTCTTGTATTTCTGTGACTGCACTCTTCTGTCTCTGATGAGGAAGCAGCGGGCAGGATGCAGTGTGACGAGCAACAGTTGGCTACTGACTGTTTCGCAGAGGACCAATAACAGGGACTTAAATATACACTCATAATGAGCAATCATAGCATTTTTGATTTGATTAATGGCCAGAGAGCCCAAAACTAAGTGTCTCTGTTGCTAACTCAGTTGCACCTGCTAGTTTAGAGTTACTGGGAGAGAAGCTGTGTGGTGCATGTGTGTCCAAGAGGGAGAGAGAAAGAAAGAGGATCAAGGCAGGTCGTCAGGGAATAGGCGAATGTGATACATTTTCTTCTGAAAGTACAGAATGTAGCAGAGGGGGTTACTATCACAGTCGCCTTTATTTCACTCTATCATTCTCTCACACTCATTTTTAATTTTCCCATGTCTATTCTTTGTTTTGGTGCCCTCTCTTTTCTCATTGTATCCTCTGCTCTGCTTCCTCCTTTATCTCCCCCTCACTGTGCCCTTCTCCAGAGTCTGATGTCATGGCTCAAGTGGTGTTTGAAAAGTGGTGTGCGCCTGCTCCCAGAGCCCCTTAACAATGTTCTGTAGCGTGCATCATAAAGTGTCATGATGATGACTTTTTTTTTTTTTTAATCTCATCTGCTGAGCCACTTTTTTCTAAAGAAATCTTATTTTTTGCACAGTAATCAGTCATTCTTTGTTACTGAACCAGAGATACTTTATTCTGACAAATAAGCAACACATTGTAGCACAAAAAAACGACTTGATACAGTCCTGCATTGGAATAATTTTGCTTAGTTATCTGGCTGTGCAACAGAGACGGCCCCAAAAAGCTGCTGCCGAGGCCAAATGCTGATTGTGGTGTGCAATGTAGTTGTTACCACAAAGACAAAGAAAAGCGAAAAAAAAACAGAGATCAAAGAAGCATGGATAGGAAACACAAACAATGGCTGTGATGGACAGTTTTGATTCTTTATCAGTCCTACTCCATTGTAGAGACGTTCTAGTAGATCATGACTTGACAGTGGCCAAACCAAAATGACTAACAAGAGTGCAAACAAGAGCCCACATTACCGGTTGTTCCACATATTTTTTACACTGCCCCCTGGAGACAGTACACAGCGACAGCACACAGACGCAGGTCAGCCAGCCTCTGTTGCACCTGCGGATGACCATACAGGGACCTTAATCCCACCCAATATGGTTTGCTTAGTGGCAAACTTGTGCATATGTATGTGATGTGTAATAATCAAATGTGTCAAAATGGCAATATCTGATCTTATAAAATGGACTTGAACACTTTTTTCTGGCTTTGTGAAAAACCTCTGCATCTATACACCGCTAGGGATGTTCAAATTATACTGTATCTGGAAAATTAAAAGTCTAAAAACTTACACTGCAAGTTGACAAGTATATCTTCACCTGTATTTCCAGCCAAGATCCTTCCCTAATTTAATCCTTACACGTCAATCCTATTTCAGTCATGAGGCCTTTTAATCTATTTCAGTGGTTGTAAGAACAACCACAGGTTTCTAAATATAAAGGCTAAACACAGAAAGTAATACACAGCCAGCTTTGTTAAACAGCAGAAACACTAAGCCTCTGAGTACACTGAGTGGGCCTGCTATACCTCTGTTACACTTCATGTTATTCAAGTCCTGCAGGGGTGCTTTCAAATTATGGTAAATCTAGAAAAGTGGACCAAAAGCCCGTGCAACTGCACAGTTACTTGCTGTGGTCACATCCAGCTTGTCATACATCAGATTAAGCCCCTTGTATCCCTATATCATTAGGGGCTGAGGCCTATCCCCACTGACAAAGGGCAAAAAGTAGGGCACACCCTCAGCAAGTCACTATACCGTCATAGACAGGGCTACCACATGAGGCAAACATGCACGCTCATACATATGACAATTTTAGAATTATCTACCAACCTAGTATTTGTGTCTTTGAATTGTGAAAGGAAGCTGGAGCAACCTGAACAAAACCCCAAACGGGGACAGGGAGACTGTGCAAACTCATCACGCAAATGCCCCCATCAGACCAGCTGGTTCAAATCTAGAATCATCTTTGAGAGGGCCAACCAGTACAGTACTTGGCCACTCAAAAATGTGCAGATCTGAATGTATGCTTTATACTGAAGGAGCTCACAACGCCAGTTATGTAATACATGTAAAAAAAAGTTTGTAGAAAAACATATTATTAAACTATTATATCTCTATTAAAGAGCACGCTGCTTTGTGAATATGCTTTTCCTTTTTTGATCTTCAGATTTAAGTGTTTTCCAGTAAGTGACACTTACTACATGCGCAGCTCTTCTGCTTTTTATATCCTACCACTTACTTAACTGGGAATGGCAGGGCCTTGGAGAAGCTGATAATGAATTAGGTGTTGAAACTGTACGGGTGAGAGCATGTCGACACGGCTACTGTAGTCCAGAGTGGCTCATAGGTCAAAGTGTCGGTGCGTTTGAGTGTGAGTTTGTGTCAGTCACTATAAAAATAGTTTGCTTTGGTACTTTAATAAGATCATTACTAAGCTGCTGCTCTGTCCGTTTGCTTTAAATTGTCTTTATAAATCATTCTTCCACATGCAGCACTCAGTAGGACACACCTAGTAGAGCCAAAATACGATCTCAAGTAAGGAATGTGGTCAAAAATCTGTTTGCTTTGATGTGTGATGCAGATCCTGCTGCTTGAGTTTGTCATGCCGGGTTACAAGATTAAGTCTATAGTTGATAGCACTTATGATAGAACTTTATTGGTCCCCTGGTACTGCCCTGATTTTGGCCTCAAGGTTGCATCATTAGCACCTGCCAGTTGTCAGCTTTTCACCATACCTCAGTGATCCTTCCCACATGATGAGATGTTCCTGGGGGGGCAACTGCTGTTTGATTATGTTTGTTGACACACTGATCGCTGCTGTGGGGCTTTCGGGAACCCCAAAGTCTGAAGCCTAGGTGTTTGGGAGACATAGTTGGAGGAGCGCTACTCGTCACTGGATCCATTCGTGCCCATGTAGACAGGATTTTTACATTACCACTTCATCATCTGCATGATGACAGCAGGCACAGAGAGTGTTGATCAAGACTTAGCTCTGTCCATGTTTGATTTAAAAGTTGGCAACAGGTTTGGCAGAGCCTATGAAGCTTTTTTTTTCTAATTTATGGCCTTATACTAAAATAGTTGCTGCTCAGCTACTGTAGAGTAAGATAAATACATTTATAATAACAGCAAACTAAAGAGATCCCCCCCCCACTGTTTGGTGGAAGGTTTGTAGTATGAATCTCATCTGTTTTTGTCATATCTCAGGATTTGGTTTATGGAAGCTAATTAATTTCTTTTGTAGTGGCACCTTGGCTCTGCCCGAGCCTTTACCGCACTTTAATTTGTAAGTTGCGGATTCTTGCGCCTCTTCTGTTTATTGTTGAAAACTTGTTTTAAGTGGATGCGTTGGATGTTGTCCAAATAGCATGTTACACAGTAGCTGCCTGGCTGGTTTTAGGTATCCAGGCTCTAAATATGACATGCTAATAGCAGTAGTTACATCATCATTCTAGGAATAGCAGGGAGTCTGGGGTCTAGAGGTGCTTCTGGCTGACCTCTCTCCTGTGTATATTCGGCCTCTGTGTGCATGTGTGTGGTCATTTTCCAAATATACAGTCCCATATGGATTACGGCGCGGGAAAGATTATTAATGGTACAGGTGAGTGGTCATATAATTTGTATATTTAGAGCCTGGTATGACGTTGACAGTACAAGATGTATTTACATGGATTTAAAAAGAGAAAAGAAAAAGTGCAATTGCATGTCATGTCTATGTGGCTGGATTTTCACATCTCCGAGGGAGCATTCTAGACACAAAGTCAAGCTGACCACAACAAAAAAGGAAAGAAAGAAAATCTCATGTGAGAAGGATTTAAGACTCCTGTCAGTTTCTGTGTGGATGCTGCCACTTTACATAGCCACAAACTGACAACTCTGGCCACTCTGACATAAAACCTGTTAGGAGGAGATGAGTACATTAAGGTTCTCTTACACCCTTCTCACACCTCAGGCGAGCCTAACATCTGAAAGGTGTATCTACCCTGTGTAGCATACGGTAGAATCACTCTCCGACTCCTTTGGAATGTATGAATTGTGTGAACGTGTGCTTAGAAGTAGTTTGTCTTCATGGGCATGCGTGCGCTTATACTGCGTGGCATGCATGCAAACGTGTGTGTGGCAAAATAGAGATACTCAGGCCTGTCACTTATCCCCCACCCATCCACACCGGGGGGTTACTTTCCAGTCTCAAAGACAAGCATGCCAGAGTCTGAAAATAACCGTATCTGATCACTGCTTCACCCAAACAGGCAACTCTCTTTCCCTGTCACTCCCACTCTTCGACTCCGTCTCTTAACTTTCTCCTCGGTCTGTTGTCTCTGTGCTTCCCAGGCATTGAACGGGGATCTTGGGACTAAAGCTTGAGCGGGAGGAGATACTTGTCCTGAGCAGAGGAGAGAAAGTGGGAGGCACGGGGGGACTTTAAGTCACAACGCCATACGTGACTCTTCTTAGCACTTCTCCAGTCTTTTGGGTTTATGACGGTAAGAGTTACATTTACTTTGCTTGATGGACCGTTGCACCTGCACTCTGTTGTCTGCAGTAGGGCAGGATTGCGTTTCGCTGGCGTTCACAGGAAAACCATTTTTATTAAAACAAATTTAAATCTGAGTGTGGATATTTTGGATTTAACCTGTCCTAATCCGTGCTATTCAGTATATCTTATACTGTTTTCTTCAAAGACCCTCTTCAAGGCACGCAGATATCGCAGCGCTGTCTACTCGGTTGTCATGTGTCTATATTTACTTGTTATGAACACAGATGCTTTAAAAAGACTTAAATTAAAAGAGATCCAAATAGCTTTTACAGCCCAAACACCCAAAAGGAATAGTATTTATCTGTGCTGCCAAAACCAAAAATTATAGCCCAAGAGTAGAATTTTTGTCTTTTGTGACAGTGGACAGAGGAAATGGTGTCAAATAAAAACAGCGGTTCTGACCGCGGTCACCGAAGAAATAGGATCACAAAAAAAGCTTAGATTACAGTTGTGAGCGTTAACTTCCTGAGCATGACTTTATCAGATTTTTGTGTATTTGTTTGTTTGTAAATATATTTATAAGAACCCTGTAACCTCTTAACTTTTGCCCCAGAATCCTTTCCCTCTTCAGGCCCTTTTACATACTTCAGTCTCTTGTTACAGCCTTTTTTCATGGTTTCTTCTTTCCTATTCAACAAAAGCCATGCACCAATTCCTCCATTAGGCCAATCTCAGAGGTGTTGTGGAATGTCACCTTGACCCCTTGGGTACACAGTAAGGGGTGGTTCCCAGCCTCGGTTTGTATCACGGTCGGCTGGATTTGTTTTCTTCCGGATCTCACATACACAGTCACTTTGTGCGTTCCCTGCAAACGTCACAGGGCAACCTCTTTTTTTTTTTTTCTTTCATATGCGTCATTCCAGCCTCATTGAAACTGATTGCAGAGGTCAGGTTTTTTGGTTAGATAAATCTTTTTGTTGCTTTTATAAAGTCCACGCTACATTGTAATGAATAGTTTTCTTCTTCAGCTGATGGCATTTGCTTGGTTAGATGCGTGTCATGTGGAGTGGCAGTTCTATGAAGCTGATGTTATTAGAAAAATTAAATGAATCTGGCACGAAATCAGGGATTTTTTTTCTGCAGTATCTGTGTTTAAAATTAAGGATGGAATATTTTGTGGTAGTTATGATTATGAGCTTACCCGGGCTGTTGTTTCAGCCCTTCTTTTCCGCATTCCTGATTACTGGTTGTTTGTTCTAAAGCTGAATTTTTTATCTTTTTATTTTACTGAATCAAAGCAAATGCAAGACTCTTATTTGAGGCTCTCATGCAAATATCTAGAATCCTGGAAATAGGAAAAACATATTTTTCATTCTGTTTGACATTTAAAACTCTGATGTCTGTGTAGAAATACTTAATACATAAACATATAAATGGATACTTGCTGTGTGCTGTCACTTCTTACAGTTGGCACCAGTAAGCCTCAAAGTAAGCAGTGTTCTTAATGAAGAAGGAAAATGTTTATTTACACATTGTTGAAGCCCTGAAACAATCAGGAACTTTGAGTTTGTGAATATTTTCATGGATAAACTGTCAGTTTTAAGTAGAAATGCCAAATGTTGAATTGATAATAATTTTAAAGCTGCACGAGTTTTCTCTAATGTTCTTGACCAGCTTCGAGGTTAAAAGGTCACGGCTAATGGCATTAAATATAGCGCCTCTTCTAATCAAGTTCCTCTTATCTTCATGCTCGACACTTAACACTGGTACCTGGGGAATCCAGACTATGTATGGGGAATTTAATCTTGGCCACAACAGATAGCCCTGCCGCTTCAGCGTACCTCCTGTCTCAAATCAAAAAATATATTTTTGAACTGTTTGTCTTAACAAAGTCTTAGACATAAACACTTTGTTTTACATATTGTAATATGAATTTATTTTTGTTGTCATCTCTCTGACGTGTTTGCATATCATCAGGATACATTTCTTTACCTCGTCACACTTTGTCGCCCTCGAGATGGGCGTGTTTACTCGTAGCATGTGGAAAAACGAATTTCTGCATCCTCTGCGAACACAAAGGAAAATATTGCTTTTATGAAGTCCACACCAAGTTGTAATGAATAGTTTTCATCGGCTGATGGTATTTGTAGTTCAAACATCATATTTTAAACTCAAAATGTTTCAGATTCCAAGCTGAAAAACAGTTGTTCTTCCTTCACTCAGAAAGCTGGAGCTTGACTATTACATTACGTCAAAATGACAAGTCAGGAAACGCTCAAGCTTCATCTTTGAAATTGCTTCGACATTTAGCCTAATGTCACACTGTCCTCTCATTTGCTCACTCTATTATCTTCTCGTAGCTCTGCCTATATTAGCTTGTTGTGTCGGCTGCAGTCTGAATAATAGTTTTCAAGCTTTTGTTAGATCTCTATGTGTGTGTGTGTTGTGCTTATTCTTAAGGAGCCGGCATGAAACTGTGGCAGCTCTAAATGTATTGTTGAGCGGGGCTGCTCAGATGTGTCCTCGGACGGCTTTTGGCACAGAGCTTACATAATGCAACTAATATAATTTTCCATTTTCAGTAGGATGCCATTTATTTTGCACTTGCTTCACTAAACACAACACAATAGGAAGGTTTTCTCTTCATCTCTTGGTTTTATTAGATTTCTATGTACCTTTTTTTTTATTTTATTTTAAATTGCTCTCTCCTTACACACAGAGCACATCATAAGTTCTGTATAGGAAGACTGAGATAACAAACCCAAGTGTCACATCCAATTCATTCTTTTTCTCCCATATCCCCGACTCAAAGTACCAGGGATTGTGTTACATAATTGCATTAGTGCTCTCGGGCCAATGGCTGTGCTCGTTAGCGTCGTTGTGATGCAATCTGGAGAACACACTCTCTGTTGTTTGCCGTATGGGCAGTGAGTGGGCACGCAGGGTCAGTGTGTTGACCTCCCCTGTCCATTCTTACAGCCAGAGGGGAGGGGGGTCCACTAATGAGTGGCAAGGTTGAGCAAACAAGGCTGATAACAGAGACTTTGTTGCAAGTGGTTGTTGTTCAACTACTGGCAGTAATGTGCTGGTAGAACAGTAACACGGCACCGACAAAACATTCCTGCATCTAACAACAAATACTTTAGTGCTTTTGTGAGAGGCTTAAACTGTGTTCTGCTTGAGGATTGAAGCTGTTCGTTTTGTACTTTAGAAAGGTTTCGTTTTTTTAAAGGAATCATTAAAGACCGTTTATTCAGATTTAGTGGTATGGACGGGTATTTAACATACTTCTAACAGGCTGGAGTGTGGGGCCTAAACTGTTTCATGGTTCGAGTAATCCGCTTTTCTAAAGTGAAATGCAGGTCAGAAGTTTCTGTATGTAGGAAAGGCAGCATGCTGAAACAATAGCACCTCAATCATATGAATGGGAAATGACCGGCATATTACCAGGAATCATTGTGATGTGGCCATTAAAGGATTTTTAACACCGCTGCTCAGCAGAGATTTTGACACATGCCTCTGTGTTAAAGTGCTTAAAATCACCGTGACATGGATTACTCATTGCTTTCTGAATGTAATATTTAAATCTGACTTTGTTGCCAACATTATGGGAGGTTATTTTTCATTACTTTATTAGGACATTTCTATGTGTGGCTAAATGATGCCAAGATACTTGGAGTTTTAAATTAAGCATAGACAAAAACTTGTTTTTTTTATGTTCTTCATTATTTGAAAAAGGAAAAGGATACAAGCTCTTAAAGCTTCCTCTGCAGCTTTATTAAAAGGCTTATAAACTATTTCAATGTTTACTTTTATTAACATTTGTTGGGCTAACGTGGCTACAGTATCCATTTAAAGCACAGTGGGCAATTCTTTTTACTATTTTGATTCTTTCGTTTCTTTTACCACAATCCCACACTCCCCACATTTTTACCACAAAAATGCAACACTGAAGGAAAAAAAAGCAAAACATTTGGCTCAGTTTCAGTAATTAAGGAATGAAGCAATGCGAAATCCTGCCTTTTTTGGGGGGGTTGTTGTCCCCGTCTGTTTGGTTTCAGTCTCGTCATGTCTTGACTGAGATTTATGTTGAATCTCCCGGGACCTTCTGTTTCCCTGTTTAAAAAAGGAGTTTGTTTTCTCTGATTCCTCCTAGATAGGTTTTCCAGATTTCTCTGTTTGCTGTTGTTGTATCAGCGTCAAATGCACTCGCTTGGCTGTTACTGATGCTGACTGTGTAGCATCCCTACAGGTAATACGCAGAGCACACATTCCAGCTCGTGTCCATTAATATTTCTGCTGCAGTATTTTGTTTGTTTGTTTTCTCACTGAAGCTTGTAACAAGCATTTTAAACATTGATAAAGCTGTTTTAACATTTTGCAATATGCTGAGTATTGCAATAACATAAACTGTGATTCATCACCTTTTTCAACTGCAAATTATGTCCAGAAAGTTATACTTTGTCAGTATCTTATTGGATAAGAAAGATATTGACAAACTTGTCTCACGTCTATTATTTTTGCATTAAAATCAGATCAGAGTGGTTGTGAGTGTACAACGCCCTCAAGTTCTGGGTAGTCACCACAGGTTATGTGGCAGAACGTGGGGAAAATTCAATACAATCACCAGGCTGCCTCTGACTTTTGGTGACGTACGGAGGCCGCTGTCATATTTTTACTTGTGTGACTGCGCCGTTAACTTGTTCTAAATTAAAAGGGTAACTTTGTCAAGCTAAGTGTGTCCAGTGTTTGTTTTTGTTTTTTTGTTTGTTTTGTTTGTTTTTTGTTTTTTCAGGTGAACTGATTTAATATAAGTTTGCTCATATAGGGATGAGTTATCATTTATAGTTTTTGATATTTGGTGCCCCTGTATTGATACAATATTGCCATGCAAAATATTTCAACGCTGTGTTGTATCAAACATTTTTCCCCACCCTTAGAGTGCAGTCGGGCACATCAGCTGGTCTCCCCAGAAAATAAAGAGTAACAATAAAATTGGTTTGTTTG